CTCAGAGGCTCTGCAGGAAAATGGATACCAAAAGATCCGAACTAGCAGAACATATCACTCAAACTGGACGCGAGATCAATTGGAAGGCAACAGAAAGAAGGGCCTCATAGGGTGACAACACAAGGAAGCGGAAGATTAGGGAGGCCAATGACATCCTTGGGGAGAAAAATCTAATGAACTGGAGATTGGATGAAGGTAGAGTTAACGATAACTTTGCCTACTGTCCAAGCAAACTCGGGGAAAACAAGAATATAGCAAGACTAGCAAAAAGGAGACGCCTGGATCAAGGATCTTTCTCTAACCGGAGGAAAAGGGATCACGATTGAGAAAGTGGGGGGCAGGAGTTTTCGGCAATAAAGCGAAGACGTCAGTGAGTGATGTCCGTTTCGAATAAACCAGTACATCTTTGGGGGCCTGACAGTCAGGGAGCTGGGCAGACAGATAAGCAGACCATCAAGGGAATTCGGCTTTATGGCCAAAATGTACCTGAAATCCATTTGAGATGCCGCATGCCACCTGAGATAGGCGTCCACAGTTTGCTCAGATGACATGGGTTTAATGAAGGAGAGGACTTGTGAAGAAAAGGCTTGATATCTGCAAGCATGGCAATCGGAGCTTAGGCATTCTGCTCAGTGAAGCGGCAGTGTACGTGTTTATAGGGCCTTGAGAAATAGCGCCTGGAATGAAATGCACACTGTGACTGGAGCCGAGTGAAATCGGTCAACCAGAAAGATAAGGAACGGATAACGGGACCATGAACGGGATCTGGATTGGAGGCCCGAGTCGGATCAGCAGATGAAAAAAGAGGGGTCGGGGTAAATAGCAAGTGTGATGGGGCCACACTAGATTTTGCCACACATTTTTCTGAGTGAAATGTAAACAAGTGATAAGTTGTGATAGGGCAGCAGTGATATTAGAAGGTGAAGAGTAGATAGATAGATAGGCCAGTGTAACCGTTTTCGGCAGAACGTTTGTCTCTTTGACGAGTTCGTAGCTTGGTGCGGCGAATGGCAAAACTGACTGATGATGCTGACTACGATGCCGGCGAAACGTTTGAGAATGTACCAAGTTCACTGTCTGATGCTGGGAATCATGACAACTACTATGGCAGACGACTTCGTACTAGGTGCGTTCTACTAAGTCACCCTGACAACAAGACCAAGTTGCGACGACGAGGTCAACCCACTTTTATAAATTGAAAGGAGACTGCGACCATACCAGAATCCACACCATCTTGGTCTTCATATCTTCAATAAAATAGGAAGGTTTTGTCATTAAGCTCTGATGGACGAGGATAAATGTTTTAATCGCTGCTGGCTTGCTAGACATACGCACACATGCAAGCACATGCTCCTAGATAGACATATGACTAACCCAATCACTTGATACATCGTACACAGACTTACATTATATATATATATATATATATTCGGGTTGACGCAGTCCCTTATTTCGGGGGAGAGCGGGCTGATTTCTCGTCTATCATATTATCAACATCATTAGAGCTGGAACTCATTCTTGTAAGTCTCAAGTTAGGACTAGGTCAAGAAGACTGTCTTGCTCTATCTTACCTCTTATAAATCATCAGAATTACGGCACATGATTTGTCGGACCAGGTTGCCACAGCGTAGGCGGACACCATAATCTTAAAACTCATGTTGCTAAGGTCACCATCTATGAAAACCCATGCATGGAATTTCCGCATTTTTTATCGCATCTAAATGTCTCTTGCAATCAGAATTAAAAAGAAGGCTACAGTTTAAGGCCTTAAATAAATCCGTCTGCTCTGCCTTAAATTACTTGTTGTTGCTAAAGTATTTTACCAATTGAGGCTATCTTCTTCCGTAAGGTATGTGTTTAGGGATGAGACCATTTCTTACTTCGACTTTACACACTCGTCGTCTTTCTCCCGTTGTTGGTTGGAGTCACTTCGGGTACTTCATCTCACGTCTCCACTCCTCCACTCGTGAAATGTCTGGCTTTCTGCCTTTAAACCACTCTCTCGCCTCCTATCTCTCCCTCTCTCTCGCGCGATCGCCCACGCCCAACATGGTAGAGCCATGCTTAATTCAGCCCGGACACTGAGGGACACAAACAACTCGATCTTCGTGCTATAACAAATGACCTCGGCCTATAGCTTGGATTCTATGCCTATGCGCATAAGTGCATTCAAACACGCATATACAGGCACATGAGCACACATCATAACATATATACTCTTCTGTAAATAAGCGCCTGCAATTGAAAAGTGAGCATGACTTAAGTGCACGAATGACCCGTTTGCAGAGCCTAGCTAAAACTCGATGTTCATATCTGACAGGATAGCCGGTTTGGAGTATCATCTATTGAAAGGACTGCACATTTGATGATTTGTGCTGTTCCACTGGGTGAGTTGTTTTACGTATATATGAGTAGAGTCTCGAGACTACTATTAAATCAGTTATATGTGATGTATTCACCCTATTTCGTTTAAGGTGATAAAGAAATGGTAGTAGAATTTTCCCATAATGATATGAGTAGAGCTGACGTTTGCATTTAATTTCCCAGAGCCCTGCCTTTCCACAAGTTGTTCTCATTCAGGGTCGACTGCAGTTTCGACCTCGCCTAGGTTTTATCAACACCCCCAGCGGAAGTCGAACCGTGACAGTGCAGCGTGTGAACTTGACACGTTAACCACTCAGCTCGGGGTGTTGATAAGACTTGGGCGAGTACAAAACTGCAGTCCACCCTGGATGAGAACAACTTTTGCGAAAGCAAGGCTATGTGAAATACAATGGGAACGTCAGCTTTACTCATATAATTGTGGGAACATTCTACTACCAGTCCTTCATCACCTGATACGAAATAGGGTGCATACATCTCATAAAACTGATTTACTGGTAGTCTCGAAATTCTACCTATATGTACGAGAAATAAGTAATGTAGTCGATTGTTTTAGCAAAAAGACGCTTGCTTCATCGACAAACCCACCAAATTATGTGATATGGGATAAGGCCTGACCTTCATTGAAATTCCCATCTGCCCTGTGACACAAGGGCATCGTGGCAATGTGGCTGGGTGGTTAATGTGTCAAGCTCACATCTTCACTGTCACGGTTCGACTACTACTGAGGCTGTTGATAAGTCCTAGGCGAGGTCGAAACTGAAGTCCACCCTGGATGAGAATTATCAATCTCATATTACTGAGCTGTTTTAGACATGGGCTTGAACTTGTTTGATAAACTTACTCGTAGACATAGAGACAAACTGGGATTTGACGATTTTTCTCGTTAATATTTTCATGTTGCATATATGAAGAGTGGTTGAGTT